TGTAAACTCTTTGTCTTTTTGCGTTTGCTTAGTTTTCACGTTTTGCATGAATGAATGCTTACCACAGGCATCTCGTTCGTATGGCTACGTCTTTCGTGTTGCCCGCATGTATCTCCACCGCTCCGTACAATTTGATGGGCGTGACTGCTATTCAGTTGACGTTAAGAAGACGTTTATTTGAACTGGGCCCTAACACCACTTGTGGTGGAGATCTAAATATTTGCACCCTGTTTTGATAGCTGACAGAGCGACTATTCTTTTAGAATCTTCTGTATTGAGGGTAGCAGGTACTCCTAGTGGACGAGAACAGGTAGCCAACTACGCTTCAAAGGGGAAGTATTGGGGTAAGTATTCATGTCGCTTTTTGTGTGAACAATCCTCGTTCTATATAAAGGGGGTCATTCTGCTTAGTTCACACAAAAGCTGGGATGCACTGGACTCGAGTTTCACTCTTAGACAGCTCCGCAGCATTGCTTATCGCTGACCTCACGATCCCTGAACATTTGCCGCAATTCAGTAGCACATGTTGCGATTCCTCGAATTGTCACGTCATACCCGGTGAACGTGTTCACGCTCGACCGATATGAGTGCTTTGACCAGCGACTCTGAAGGCGATCCAACGACTTCTCTGGTTGTATCAGAGAACTTTTCCTATATACTTGGTGGTACAGACGTTCGAAAGATTCTTCAGTGTTTCAGGAGTCTAAACCGGATTTCATATGATCGAGAACATGTTCTTACTCTGTCATCGTTAAGCTTGTTGTAACTTATACATGAGCAAGTCGACTTTGTGAGGAATGGGGTGGTGTAACCAGAACTCAAAATGAAGAAATAAAAACAGTTATCTGGCCAATGCCTCAGGATAGTGACCGAACAAACCAGGCCCTCAGAACGCAGGAACGAACCTACTCTGGGGAAGCACAGATTACAGAAAACCGACGAATGACTCGAAAATATGCGCGACGACTGGCCGAAACCGAGTTTTCCATCAAGTCACGAAAAAGGATGATCAACCTGCGGCAATCAGGGCTATGCATAGAAACGTCAACCCCAGCCCCTCACCCAAAGTATTGGTTCTTTGACAAAATGCACGCAGGGAATGATGCTTCCAAGGACAGACAGCGCATAAACCTTCGCGTGTAATAGCTAGATTTCTAGATGCACCGAAAAAGAACTGCACAATTGCTTTGCTTCTTGCTACTTGTTTTTCACTGACCAGAGCCCAAACCCTGTGCATGATTCAGATCAGTGTGCCCTCGACTGTGAGAGAACTGTAATGGAACTAGAGGCCAGGGGTACCAAGAAGATTGAATTCAAATGGCTTCCATCATCATAAATGAGTGGACATCCTAATCGTTATTTTGGGCTTTAAACAAAACACAACCAACATCTCTTCACAAAATCGCTTCTTCCATCCTGGTCCAACGTTGCAGTTCATCAATTCACTTGTCATTTTACCTACGAACGTGGAAGTTCAAATCCCACTTTGCATCTGATCATTTTACGGAAATTTTAGTCTTGACTTCTGACTCGGGTAGTAAAAACATGTTAATTTAAACAAGACTACCCAACCGTTGTTAATACCCATCGTCCCCTACCACAGTAACTTTGACACGAATAACTATCGGTAGCATCGTAACCAGCCACTTCACTGTGAATAGCTTCATCCGAACTTTCGGCTGTTTGATTTGAAGTAGCGAACCAATTCTGCAGTTTTATTGGCACAAGGGTGCACACGTCCACGGATGTCCTTGAATCAGTGCAATGTGACAATACGCTGGACGAGACTGTCTGCGTTCGTTCCGTTTTAAACCGAACGTGCGTTCGTATTGATCTGAACCGAAACCGCGCAAACTTTATTTCATTTAGTGACGTGTTTAAACATTCAGGTAATCGATATTCTTCTTTTTCTTTCGGCTGTCCCGAGCCGTTTGTTGATTATGCGATCAAAGATCACATATTTTTGTGGCGGCATTTTCGTTTTCGAAAAATACAAAGAGGCCAACACCTCATAAAGGAAACTACTCACAAAGTTGGTGAAAACTCTTTGACAGACCACGACCGGTTCCGCTCTTCTGTTTTAGGCTCATCAGGTAGGCGCAGTCCCCGGGCTTCTGTCAACCTTATGATCTAATTGAACCCAAATTGGACATTTTTCGAGAAATACACTCATTTGTAAATCAATCTGGTTTTCACGGGAGACTGCATCATGAGGCGGCCTGTGTGCAGCACATTCAGTTGAAGGACATCATAAACGAGACATTCAGTCGAGTCTCTTATGAAAACCAAATTGATTTGCAAATGAGTGTATTTCTTGAACCAGTCCAATATGGGTTCGAGTAGAACATAAGTTTGACGGAAACCCGGGGACTGCGCCTACCTGATGAGCCCCAAGAAGGGCGTAAAAGAGGGTGTAAAAGTGCTGTCGAGGAGTTTTCACCAACCTTGAGAATAGTTTCCTTCATGAAAATATACTGCGATATCTCGAATATCGTGCCAACTGAATCATGAAACGGCCTGTGTGCAGCACATTCAGTTGAAAGACATCACAAACGTGAGATTCAATTGAGTCTCCCATGAAAATGACAGAACCCTTGAACTAAACATGTTTTCATAAGACCGGGAATCACTGTGGAATTTGCTGAGTCCTATTCGATGAGTTGCACGTGAATGATCAAGGATAGCAAACCTGCCGCTGCCGCGCTTTTGGACATCGGACTTTGAACATTGACCACCCGCTTGCTTATTTCCAGCCCAGTAGGAAATCCACTTAATTGCTTTGGTGTGTCGCTGATAAGCATTCGAAAGCCGTGGAGGATGGGGATCAAAGTTCATCTAGAAATATGGGATTTCTTGATATTCTTAAGAACCCGAAAGATTCCAATAAAATGCCATCATCTTGAGGAGAATCCTTTCAAGTTAAGCGTTTAGCACACGTTTCACTTTCAGGTATACATATTCTTGGGCATCGCCAAGCGTTCCGTTTGGTACCCTAGTGTTGCAGTTTTCTGCTACCTTTATTATATTATAGAGGAAAATTAAATTCCGTGACTGCCGCAAAATTACCTGCTTTCTCCCTAGAACCAGAAGAAAAAAGGTTTTGTGAATATAATGATAATATTTTGTGAGGAATTTGGTAGGTTTACGCTAGATGTTTTGGTGCTTGCTCCCTATTTTTAGAAACTGCATCTAGTTGGGTCCTATAGTTAGTGTCGTCATGGTATGGGTGCCATTGTACCACAGTATGATCGTGCGGAAATGAAATTTCCTAGTCATTATTTTCTATAAATTTGGTGAAACATATCTAAAACGTAACTGAGGACGTTCTGGGGACTGAAATGTTGAATGAGTTCTTAAGGGATTATCATGTAGACGAAACGTTAACCTCGTTAATTACAAACTACTTAAAATATCCCAGTAGCTCAATCATAGAATAAAATCATGTCCACTTTTGGACGTGATAATGCATATTCCATATTTTTTCTATTTTTGGATCCATACCAGCGTTCTGCCACAAGTTTATTCATTACAACGACATGTTTATGGGTTCTTGGTTTGTTGACGAACTTCCAAACAACTTTCATAGATCAGATGTTGCACCTTTCGTCGGCGTTTTTGAGCTGCCAATTCCAGCGCCGTTCGACACTTACGCTCGAATTTTGGTCGTTCGTCAAATAAAAGAGGTGTAAAGTTGTTCCCTCTTCATGAAGTTGCTAAGAAATAGGGCTACTTCCCATTTTTTCCACTGAAGTTGTTAGTCGTGCTAATTGTGATGTATCACCATTTTTTCTGCACAGAGACGCTGTTCCATGTGTACAAATACCTTGGTGTCATTTGGCCAAAAAGCTGTGTTGATGATCTGATCATGTTGCCACTCCAGGTACATCGGACGGCGCTTTTAACGTAGTTTTGAACTATCAACCCGAATTATAGTGGACTAACAGAACCTAGAGGTTTAACTTCGAGAATTAGAAAAATTATTACATACCAGTGTCGCCATTCCTGTCTTTATTTAACAAGTACCAACCTTCAAACTATAGTAACTAAAACCCTGGCGAACGTCTGTCAGTATTCAGCTGATTAGGCACCAAATTTCTTTTAAAAACTAGTCAATTCTGAGTTTGCTACTTACATGTGCAACGGTTTTTTCACGCACCACGGCTAAGAGATTTACAAATGATTTTTTATTGTCGATGGTAACATGTTTATACGTTTTACTCCGCTTTTGAACAGGACCCCGCATCGCTTTGCTTGTATATTTTCGCAGGTTAGTGTAGGTTAAAAATATCACCAACAAAGAATTTCTCCATTGAAATTGTTTGGTAAAGATATATCAAATTATATGAACCGCCGTAAAAGGAATTTATTCTCCACGAGAGTGCAGGGTATCAAACATTCAAAGTATCTTTAATTTTGCATTCCTCGGACCTGATCGCTGAATTATAGACACAAATGTGAAAGATGGTACAGTGCACCATGTGTCAGAGTGTTTGTCGCAGCTGGTAACATCACAACATACGGCACTGATAGCTGATGTGTGCTCACGGTTTTCAAGTAGATTTTAATTTAATGGGCACGCTTCTGAATTTTCAGCAACCTTGTGAGTAGCGTATCACTTCTATTCATTTATCGCGATAGCTCGAATATCGTAGCAACTGGGATATGAGGCAGCCTGATGAAGCACACCCAGTTGCTTACAAACATCATGAACGAGAGATTCAGCTGGCTTCCAGGTGAACCTCTCGCGAGACCAAATTTGTTTAGAAATGAGTGTCCTTTGCTAAAAGTAAGTTACTCGCACCATTTTTTAAAAACATTTTCAAACAGGGTCATTCCCTTGAATCTTATTTTGGTAAAAAGAATATTATCACGCGTTGTGTTGTCAGGCCCAACAACTTTTGTGTAGCTTCAGGGAAACTATCAGTTTTTTCGAACAGATTATTTCTGGTTGAATTAGTCCAGCGTGAGATCTTGGTCAATTTTTTTATTTCCGATGGAGGAAAGACTCTGCCGCTAGTCAGTGAGCAAAACAATTTATTAGAAAAAAAAGTTGGGCAGTGTGTTCTTAAGCACACAACATTGACAAGGATACTTGTGCTTGTTGATTATACCTGGAAGTGAAAAAGAAACTTGGTGACAAATGCGTTCTACGAATTCGGAGGTTCATGTACTCTCCATCCCTACCTTCAAAAACAGTAATTTCTCACAGCGTAAAATTGGTGTCTTTGAGTTACAAAAAAATAAAAATCTGTACCTTAACCAAACATAATTAGGGAACAATAAAATTATGGAACTGTCCAAGTACTTCACAATAACCCTACTGACAAGCGGAATGGGTGATTTTAAGTCAGCAATTTTAGAGTAGAATTAAGAGACATGAACACTAAACAGACGCATCTTTTGATGGAGGTTGTGCAGGCTATGTCCAAACGAGGAAGATGGGGAAGAAAGCTCTTGTACCTTACTGTCGTGTGACGCAAATATTTCAACCAAAAACTTTCAAAACGGCTTTTCTATGACTTTTACAACCGTTTGAATAGTATCTTCAGCGTTTGCAGAGGAAGAGCTAGTTTAATCTGGGAGTCTGCACTTTTCCGCACCTCTACGTGGATGCTGGTTCTTTTTTTTGGCCCGATGGTTTTGGATTGCAACAATGGTTGCCTGTACATCTCACGAATCTTGCAACGGGGTGAGACCAGGACAACTGGTTGGTCAGTCAAAAAGGACCTGTTCCCAAAATAACTTGGCAGTAAAAATTGCTGCACTTTGGATGAAACCATCACTTTGTCTCCACGTAGAAACAAGTAAATCAGTTTTTTGTGTTAACCGAACAGTAGTCATGGTCGTTTCTGATGAATCTCATCTCGTCGTGGCTAAGATCCAGAATAATCTTGGAAGCCTGTGTTACCCTTCACAGCGGTTATGAAGATTCTGAAAATGAGGATGTACTGCCATTTGCTTGGTGTTCAAACACAGGAAGTAATCCTACCTGATAAATCGCAATAAAATAGAAAGCGATAGTGAACTGCTGAAGAATCTTCAGCAACCTTATGAGTAGTGTGCTCCGTGAAAAATTTCGCTACTCAACATTTCATCCATAAGTAGCCGATAGACCAACCTATTTTAGCGTATAAATTCATTCATGTGGAGCATATATATATATGAACTAACTATATATGTGCTATGTTGAAGCACTGTCTAGCTTGAAGCTGAACATCAGTAGATAGAGTTGTAATAAGTTCCGTTGAGGTGGGAACACCGAATGGATTTCTGTTTTAGAAGCGACCAAATTGGTCTGCTTAATGGATTCAACTCATATCTTACTTTTCAATGTGTTGTGTAGTATACCGTCAGTTGGACGACAGCAAAAATGTGGCTCTTTTCTGCACCTCTACGTGGATGCTGGTTCGTTTTCTTGGCCTGATAGTTTTGGGTTGCAACAGTGGTTGCCTGTACATCTCACGAATCTTGCAACGGGGTGAGACCAGGACAACTGGTTGGTCAGTCAAAAAGGACCTGTTCCCAAAATAACTTGGCAGTAAAAATTGCTGCACTTTGGATGAAACCATCACTTTGTCTCCACGTAGAAACAAGTAAATCAGTTTTTTGTGTTAACCGAACAGTAGTCATGGTCGTTTCTGATGAATCTCATCTCGTCGTGGCTAAGATCCAGAATAATCTTGGAAGCCTGTGTTACCCTTCACAGCGGTTATGAAGATTCTGAAAATGAGGATGTACTGCCATTTGCTTGGTGTTCAAACACAGGAAGTAATCCTACCTGATAAATCGCAATAAAATAGAAAGCGATAGTGAACTGCTGAAGAATCTTCAGCAACCTTATGAGTAGTGTGCTCCGTGAAAAATTTCGCTACTCAACATTTCATCCATAAGTAGCCGATAGACCAACCTATTTTAGCGTATAAATTCATTCATGTGGAGCATATATATATATGAACTAACTATATATGTGCTATGTTGAAGCACTGTCTAGCTTGAAGCTGAACATCAGTAGATAGAGTTGTAATAAGTTCCGTTGAGGTGGGAACACCGAATGGATTTCTGTTTTAGAAGCGACCAAATTGGTCTGCTTAATGGATTCAACTCATATCTTACTTTTCAATGTGTTGTGTAGTATACCGTCAGTTGGACGACAGCAAAAATGTGGGCGGTGACATAATCTTTTTTTCCACATTGCATAATCGAATGATCTGCAGCTCAGACAATTCCGATGTCTAGGCGTTGTGGGTCCCTTCGAGGCTCGTCCAGCTATTAATGAAGAGACATACCGTCTGTCTTCAAGCAGCTTAGGTTACTCAAGTTGGTTTATATGCGTTTTATCTTGGTTTTACAGTTCGTAATCGATAGAAACAGAGTCGATGAGAGAAGACTTTATCTAAGTATATTGGCCGAACTGGGTGAAAAATCTTCATTCCTACCAATGTTGCACACGTAACTTTTCACTTCCCCCGCGGAATTTTTTGTCATTCATGTTTGCTGTGAGCAGTACACACCTGAAATTGCACCTGTAAATACGGAATAGCAATGTGCAACTTTCCTAGATAGTGGCGAGTAGTGAGCCGGCCATCGTGTAAAACAGTCAACCTGTTACTGCCCGAGATCCTCATAGGGGCGGACAAACTATTGCTCAGAACGGTGAACATAACATATATCAAAGTTGATGAAATCCCACTGAAAGTTAAAGGTAACTCGAGGAAGGCTGTATAGTTAGTTCATTGCAGTGTTCGAATGCACATCTGTCCTAACCACACAAGTTTCCTTAGTCCTCTATTTAGTGCATTCCACGTCTCAACTTCAATACAAGTGTGTGCATAAAACCGGCTTCACTTACTTATTCAGCGAATGCCTCCGCATCCTGATCCCACTAGCAAAGTGTGAATGACTAGAAAGAGAGAAATTTTAGACAAAACAGTTATCGACAGCCTATTTGTGTCACATACAGCTGTTTTGGGGGTTCAGACTAAGAACAACATGAGCGTGCTGTCATTATCATCAGAGTAGTGTATCACACAGTTTAACCTGACTCGAATTTGCACATGTTTACAGACAATGTGCTTGGTGTTTGGTGTAATGGCACCTCGCTTTCCACAGAGCAGAATTCGTGTAGATAACATAGAAAATGAAGTGTTCAGGGTATGATCTATGAATGCACCATCGAAAGCAAGTAAACTGCATTGTTTACCCTCGTTTGGTTGCGAAACTTTTGGTCGTCATCAGGGCTCCTAGGCCTGGAACCGACGCGCCACACGCAAAAATGAATGTGGCAAGACCGCAACGGGCCGACTAGAAGTAAATATTTGCCACTTTGTCACCCGCCGCATCCCCTTGAGCCCAGATTTTTTTTAAAAAATCAATCGTTCCGGTAACTTCAAGAGTTTCCGTCAAAAAATAAGTAAAAACAAATCGCTTGCTGATCGGTACTTTCTCAGGGTCAACACACCATCAACCGTCCAGTTCTTTACTGTCATCAGGCTGGTGAGATTCACCCGTTGGAACCAAGAAGAACAGCGGCCGCCATCCGAAAAGCTCATGCAAACAATAGGGTGTAAAACATTCCGTCACCGACCGACGTTTTGTTTGTAAACCCCTTGATTCTTCCCGCACAACAGGTTAAAGCAAATAGAGTAACTTAAACAGACGGGCAGACATATAACAGTAATCTGAAAACCGCTTTATTGTCATCAGTTTGACCCACGGAGTTGAGGAGAGTTTCTACCGAGTTCAAGTGCACAAACCTAGTCAATAAAATATTTTGTCAACTTATATGGCAGTAAACTGGACTTGTTGCAAGCCAATGATTGAACAACGATCAAACATGTGAATTTGTGTGGCCAACAATTGTAGAACGAAATAGAAAGAAATTACACGGCCTGCCTCACACTTATATGGAATCGCTGTGGACATATTTTCATTCAAACTTCTATTCCGGCGAAAACTGACATCTTTATCGTCTTAGAGTTATAATCTCGCACCTTGTTAAACTATCCAAGTGCAGAAATTTTCTGTGTTTCATCGTCTGAGTTTCACCATTGGCTAGCAAAAAACACACAAGGCCAACATACGTACATTAATCAGGGAGCTGCCTTACCTTGCATATATCTTTAGGTTCGTTCGCTTGAAGCATTTTCACTGTCTCAGAGATGAACTTCCCCGAGATGGAAGGGCACTAGCCGAAGGAAAACAGACACATGATCTCGTCATATTGGAAGCTAAGGGTTTTTGAATACGTGTCTCACATTTATGTGGAACTCTCCTGTAATACCGTTAGTATGATCTCCGCTAACACCTTCAGTTAGAAAGAAATTATACAATGACATACTGTATTAAGAAACAGCAACACCGACCAGGATTAATTTCATAGTGATACTGGAGACTTACCACCTTTGCGAGGACCTGGAAGTTAATGCATGCATTTTCTATCCGTGTCTTAAGCTCGTTCCTTGCCTTTTCGTCCGTTTTCAGAACACTCAATAGGGTTTCACAGAGTCTGCAAAGTACATCTGTGTTGGACAAATGTGTTCAACTGTTAGGAAGGACTTAACTCACTTGTCCTCAAAAAAAACTCATGCACATTTGCCTACATATCATCCGACATCTGTTTCAGGATTTTCCTGTAATATCCAACCACACTGGTGCACTCTGGTATGCAGTATCGGACGCCCTTGGTACTCGCCTGAGTATGCAACCATTTCGCTGCTTAGTCGAAACCGGAAACTATAAGACTGTAGGGTGAGCAGGAGCAAACATGTCGTTTTTGATCTTTAAATCAGGTTGGGTAAACTAGACTCTTGGGACTCACATCGCTTCTGATGGATGGCGTTGTAGCGCGCACCGCATACAAGGCATACATACAGTCAACTAGTTCTGGCTAATAATTACACTGAACCAACAAGAAATTTAACCGATGGTTAACCGACAGTTAGGAGGGATTTCGTGTACTAGTCGAAATAGATCTTGCTGACTGGTTCTCCGTCTGCCTTAGCAGTCGACCAACCTGGTCACATACTCAGTTGACCTGACGAAGCTTTCCTGTCAAAAAACCAGAGGTTTTTCGACCATAAATCCACCGACTGTTTACGTAACCCTTCTCAAATGACAATTTCCTGGTCGGTTCCCAACATCCTCCTTACCTATGTCGAAGTAGAGTTCAATGAATTAACTTACTCAGAGCTGGATTGTGCAGCCACCAGCTACCTGGTCGAAGATCAACTGCTGGTTCTGTCCTGTCGGTGCCCTTAGTGGTTGCCGCAAAATTGGTCAGAGGCCGTTTGCTAAATAGCAAAAAAGTCAACATCCTCAACATAGCATTGTGACCGCTTGCAAGAGTTGTGATGTTGTCTGACCGATTTACAGTGTTACACTAGCTGCCTTCAGATAAATTTATTCAGGTAACTAAGAACCATAAACTCATATGCAAATAGAAATGTACTAAGTACGTTTAGAACGATGGAACTATCCTATTTCCCTTTTTTCCGATCTTCAAGGACATATAACAATAATACTAACATTTCCAATGCAAAAATGCTGCTAAACTTCATGGATAGTTGCTGGAAGGTGTAAAACAGTAAGTGTGTAAAATGTTTACAGAAACGAAGAGGAAGTCAACACTTCGATGAACTCAGCAAATGTGCATATACAAACAGTTTTGTCCTTGAACGATTAGAATTTTTATGCTGTTTGTTAAAACGATGTGACCCATTGCGAGGAATTGAACCCACAATTATCAGCTGTTTGTTCCCCGTCCGATTTTTAGAATGGGGCGATTACTTGAAGTAACAACGAGCGGGATAAATTGGTCAGACTAAATTAGTATGCAAATGCGAGTAGTCGGTGAGTAAGCCCCAGTAACTTACTTTTCAATCCTGTACTTCCAGTCTGTAAATGATGATGAAAAATTCATCTAAATCGAGGAATACCTCAGGAAGACCACATTTGGAAATGATACGGAGAGAAAATCACTTCGTTCAGTCTATGCTAGTAACTCACTTGGACTTCCGATGACTTTACGCCAACTAGCAACATCGTTAGGATGAACCACGTACGAATCATTCTACCGTGTTCCGGCTCAGTTGTCGTTGGGCCCGATTCCTTTATACACACACTATCTGTAGGTCACTGTCATGCTGGATCCTTGTATCTGCGTAACTCGGCATCTCAGGGATTGTCACAGAGCACATTTCCTTTTGTTCTGAGATCCGCTGTTCCTGAAACTCTAGAGAACCGATTTGCGCAAGACAAAGTATTCATATTCCATCCTCACAGCAGGGATACTCAAAGTGCGTAATTGAAAATGTATCGATTCCACAATTCAACATGCGATTGAAACTGTCCTGACATACATACAAAAATATTTGGCATATTTTGTCTTATAAACTTGTGCAAGTCCATCGGACGTGATGATATTTCCGCCGAGTAGAGTTTCATTTATAACTGAGTTATGCCTTGTACACGCAGCAACATTTACAATCAAATAAGCGGTGCAGTTCGCAAAACAAGTGAAGTTTAGTCGGCCAGCCAGTGACATTACGTGTGTCAGGCCGAAAGTTCTCGTGTTATTTACAAAAAATGCACTAGGTTCCCCAATTTCAGAGTGCTTAGGAGTGCTTATCAACCTGGTGAAGCCAGACGGGGTTACTTCAGAATTACCGCTCATGGAGCCCAACGAAGCAGTCTGCCATACTCAACAGTCAAGCAGTTTAAAACAGCCTATTATGAACGTTTTTTCCACTATGACACTTGAATGTAAACTTTCGTTTAAAGTTACATTCTGACAATATTTCTAGTTAGTGCGGTGCAAGACAAGGCGTAACCATCCGAGTCATCCACCATAAATGGCGTGGAAGCATAACACACTACTCACTAGGTTACTGAAAAATGCTCAAACTTACGAGTAGTTTATTACGTTTTTGTACTATATATCGCGATACTGACGTGTCGTACCAACTGTATTCAGTTGAATTTCCCATAAAAAACAAATCGGTATGCGAATGACTGTATTTCGTAAAAACGTGCTTCCTCGTAAAACTGTAGCTTCAGTCAAAAACCAGCTCTGCTGCTGAGCCAATCCAGGCTGATCACCTCTAACTTATTCTTATTTAAGGAGTATAGAGGCTTTATTGAACGAACAGACAAGAAACACAACCCGCAACTTGGAAAACCTACATACAGCCCAGCTAGCTAGTGTAGTTATTTACCTACGTTCGGTTGGTAACGGAACTGACCCCTATGTATTACAATGCAGTAAACTGTATTTTGCGTCGTATCCTATCAGTTGAGCATTTCAATGCAGAATTCCAAGCAAGTATTCGCATTTGGGCGCACAGTGACTTGACCCTATGAAATCAGTGAAGAACACGGTTCGCCACATCCCACCGGTCGTCATTTTCAAGGGCATTTTGAATGGTGACGCGGTGAAGTGGTCGATAAAAATGGTCAACCAGGTAGTACTACGAATCTTCGTGTGAACTTGCAAACATCGTTCATTTGCATCAATATTACACGCGTGCACTTTTGACGAATGATGCCCTTCGAAATTCGAGAAGCTGCAAGTCAAATTACACGGCTGGTTGCAATCTCGCCATTGAGAGTGCAGTAGGTTGGTTTGAGTCACAATGTTTGTCAGTGTATTCACAACAATTTGATCGTCTTCCAATTTGACAATAAAAAACCATCCTGGTGCACTGGAATTGCTTCCGAAAATACGGCAACGCAGCACAAACAACGTGGAAGGACAGAAGTAAGCCATCAAACAGATATTGCCCTCCTGATACGTTCCTCCACCGAACAGATAAATTTGGCTTCTATTCGCGTATCAAACTGAAGTTAACGTGCACAACTTTGCAGAAAAATTGGTTCTGCCGCTTTGGTCTATCACCTTAATTAAGGATTTACTTGGCCAAGTGAGTTGGCACTGGGTTTATCGCTGTTTGATTCCTTAGGCACTGAAAGTGTACAGAGAGGCTTCTAGGCCCATAAACTACGTGAATTCTAGCGAATATACACTCATTTGCAAACTAATTTGGTTTTTCGAGACTCACCTGAAAACCAGCTGAATCCCTCGGTTTTGATGTTTCCAGGTAACTGAACGTGCTGCACCAGGCCTCCTCATGTTTCAATCGCTACGATATTCGAGATATCGCGATACATTTATATTTTTGTAATGCACTGCTCATAAGGTCGAGGAGTTTTCAGCAACTTTATGAGTAGTGCACTACGAAAATACGTTAATTCTCTTATAAGCGACCATTTCTCTACGTCAGCTAAACAGATCGAACTCCTGTTTTCACCTCCACAAGTTTCGTGTTTACGTTTCCGCTTTCAGCATGCAGGTTTGCCTTTTCATCATCTATAAGATGTTTTATGTAAAGTTCTATGCTAAGGCATATTTAGATTGACTGAAAAAAATCCTCAAAAATTCGTCAGCCACTCAGCCTGATGTTGATAAAAGTCCGATTTGAAGCTTTAGAAACACTCTAGTTACAAGAGAAAAGGCATTACACAGAAGGGAGATCGGCTCATCAGTCGTTTTGCTGTTCTTTTTGTCGACTAAGGGAACAGCTAACACAAGAAACTTGATTAAAAAACTACTTGAATAAAAGGCGGTTATCGAGAAGTTACCCCTATCAATAAACCTTTGCACTGTGTACATCGAACGCTCCTAGGAAATTCAAACCCATGGCGCTCAGAGAAATAGTCTGGGCGCCAACGATTTTCCCAAACGAGTTGATAAACCTTTGAACAATCTCCGATAGGACACGATTAAACATAATCGCCATTTTTATAGAGGTAAATAATCACAAGTTTGTTAAAAACTCTTCGACAGCCCACGACCGGTTTCTCTTGGGACTCATCAGGTAGGCGCAGTCCCCGAGTTTCCGTCAACCATATGATCTACTTGAACCTAAATTGGACTGTTTTTGAGAAGTACACTCATTTGCAAATCACTTCGGTCTTCACGAGGGACCCAACTGAATCTCTCGTTTATGATATTCTACAACTAAATGTGCTGCTGACGGAAACTCGGGGACTGCGCCTACCTGATGAGTCCCAAGAGAAACCGGTCGTGGGCTGTCGAAGAGTTTTTAACAAACTTGTGATTATTTACCTCTATAAAAATGGCGATTATGTTTAATCGTGTCCTATCGGAGATTGTTCAAAGGTTTATCAACTCGTTTGGGAAAATCGTTGGCGCCCAGACTATTTCTCTGAGCGCCATGGGTTTGAATTTCCTAGGAGCGTTCGATGTACACAGTGCAAAGGTTTATTGATAGGGGTAACAACACCGTACAGCATTTCTCGTCTGTTTGGGCAGGACTTGACTTCAGTAGCAATATCACTGACTCACGGGTGTATTTTTCACAAAATCCATTGAACACTATCATAGGATATTGGTCAGATTTAGCAGTACTAGTCGTATCAGTCCAGATGCAGTAGTTTGGCTCAAATTACTGACCTTCTGGCCTGTAAATTCGCGCTTTAACCACTGAGGCATCTCGAGATCACGACTACTGGGCTTCCTGATAGAAAAGAAAGTAAAAAAGCCCTTGGAAAGCCATCCATACAGCTAGTGGATGCGCCTTGTGTCTTAACGTCATACTTGGCGGTCTAAAACCTCCACTGCCATCTGGATTGGCACTATATTCCGGCCTACCGGAGCCTTATGTGGTGCGTGACATGAGTCTTCCTTTGAAGGTTGCCGATTTCCAACCAGCCAGGCGAACGCTCTTTTGAGTGTAAGGCGAATATGCCTTTTGAATTTGTGGTTGTCTCACTGGTTTTTCAGGAATCTGCCAACACAGGAATCCGCTTTTCTACATAGTTTTACTTTCCTTTACCAACAATAGAGTATGTCAGCCTGCGCCGACTGTTCATAATGAAAGTGTTCTCATCTCTAAAGATACATTAGCCCACCCATGGTGCTGAATAATGTGCCGTTGTGTTCATCTAAGTTATTCGACTTCCATGCTGGATGATATTTGTGGAGAGGAGCGCCAAAACGTTTTCTGACCTCACAATGTGGACTTCCAAACTCACTGCGCCAAGATATGGTCGGGCGCTATATTTGGCAGCTTTATTTCATTTCCTGATCACGTCTACGCCAACGACACATCCTTTTCCGGTTAGATCGAAAAGAAAGGTTCGTGGTCGTTGGCTTGTTCGCTGTGCAATTGGCAGCTTTATTTCATTTCCTGATCACGTCTACGCCAACGACACATCCTTTTCCGGTTAGATCGAAAAGAAAGGTTCGTGGTCGTTGGCTTGTTCGCTGAGCTGAGCAATTTGATTGTAAACGTTTTATCACTGATCGAGGTGACATCATCAGTGCGTTATTGGGGAGCGTAGCGGTGGGTTGGTGGTTGTGCGTTGAGCAGTGTTACGCGTGCTATTATACTTGCTGCTAGCAAGGGATGACCTTTGATCACGATTATTTGTCCGGTCGGGCGGTTCCATTGGTTGCTCCGTTGTCGTGTCCCCATTAGCCGATGCCCACGTGACCTTTGAGCTTGGCATCCCCTGCTGTCATAATCTGGTCAATGCTGGAGTGACTTTTATCCTTTCAAGTTCCGGCTTGTGACCTTTATTGATTTGCATATTTGTTTTTTTGTTTGTGAATCCAATATTCGGTCCTCCTTGAGTGTTCCTGTTGGGATGTTGACCTTTCGCAAGTAGGGTACTCACCCCCCGACCGGACAACTAATCGCGATCAAAGGTCATCCCCTGATAGCAGCACGTATATTAACAAATGCGTAACACTACTCAGCGCACAACCACCAACCCACCGCTACGCACAACTACGCTCTCCAAAAACGCACTGATGATGTCACCTCGATTGGTGATGAAACGTCTGTAATTAAAGTGCCCAGCTCAGTGAACAAGCCAACGACCATCTTCGCTGTCTGAGCTACCGACCATTTCCTCTATAGAAAGGTTCGTTTTATCACTTTAGGATAAACAGACCCGATCGCTTGATTTTCGTTACAATCCTTCATGAAATACATTTCCTAGACAACTAGTCCTTCTTGCTCAATATGGAAGACATTAAAAATGTATGCCAGTTAGGTTGAACCGGTAGATTTATTCATTTGATGCTTTCGAGTCTTATCAATCGGATTGGCCATATTACTACCGTATAAGTATGGGTTGATTTCCACTGACTAAACCGACCTCACTGATCA